ATATGTTGGTTTTTAAACAACACTAAGTCATTAAATGATTATTCTATCACCATAAATTTTATAGCACACAACAATTTAGCACTATCTGTGGGAACTAATCCCAGTTTATAATAGTCTACACTTTGTCAATGACTAATAAGCACAATATACGAACTTCAAGTTATAACACCCATAATTCTGGCGTACATTCTCGAGGTGTTAGACGTCAAGTATCAGGTCTATTTTCTAGCAATACACTTCACCGAACTGGTGAGGATGCCTCTTATTTATCCCCTGAGGACCTTATGCAGAGAATGAAGGAATCTCAAAATAAAATTCTTTAGCTTCAACATGCAGCTCGACAACCAACAGTAGAGCAACGAGGCGAGGTTCATCTATCCCGAGATCAACCATCAATTGGAGATCCCCATACAGAGGGTGCTCCACCGACAACCCATCCTTATACTAACGTTCTTTCTCGGTCGAGACATGAAGCTAATTTCTTGAATATGCTAATTTCATGCATCCATCTCACGCTGCTAGACCAAATTGCAACCCTCCAATACTCTTGGAGAACTTAGCCCTCCTACCTTCTAGTCTTTTATGAATCTGAAAATTGAGGGTGTGATTCTCATGACATTGAAGATTTCTTGATCCTTTAGAAAATTCTAAGCGAAGTTTTGTCATCTAACATTATATTCACTTGCTGGACCTCAGTAGAAGGATCTAGTTATAAACTAAGACTTACAAATTCATCAACCTATTGGGAATACTTATAGTAAATATTGGCTATTTGACCCAAATCCTCACATTCAATTTGGCCCTCTAACGTTCTAATCTATTATTGAACTTATAAGGGAAGTTTCGAAATCCCTTGGAGAAAAGAAATTATTTAACCATCGCCATTGAAATTTATAATTTGTTGAATTGGGGGTTTACCTATATATGTGTATACTAGGATGCACCCACACAAACATAAGACACAATACATCACATATATGAGACATATATATTTTTTAATATATATA